AATATCACGGCCACACCATCTCCGTACACCACCGTCAAAAAGCCCGTGTCAACCTCCCCTGGCTGCTTTGTCGGGTTCGACGTCAAGGAGCCCGAAAGCCACCATGTTATCCCAATTGGAAAGCTCAGAGATATCAAATTCATGTCCATTTTTAGGTTCAAGGTCTGGTGGACTACTCACTGGATTGGAACGAATGGAAGGGACCTTGAAAGGGAAACACAAATTGTCATTCTTGACAAATCTTCCACTGGCAGGCCCTATGTTTTGCTACTTCCACTCCTGGAAGGGCCTTTTCGGGCTTCACTCCAGCCTGGAAAAGACGACTACATCGATATCTGCGTCGAAAGCGGGTCGAGGAAAGTCACCGGAGCTTCATTCCAGAGTGTGCTCTACATGCACGTCGGTGATGATCCGTTCAGTTTGGTAAAAGAAGCCATGAAGGTAGCTCGGGCTCACCTTGGAACTTTCAGGCTCCTTGAGGAAAAGACTCCACCAGGTATTGTAGACAAATTTGGGTGGTGCACTTGGGATGCTTTTTACTTGACTGTTCAGCCTCGGGGCATCTGGGAGGGCGTCAAGGGGCTGGTCGACGGCGGCTGCCCACCGGGGCTGGTGTTGATCGACGACGGTTGGCAGTCCATTTGCCACGACGAGGATCCAATCACCTCCGAGGGCATCAACCGAACATCGGCCGGTGAGCAAATGCCATGCAGGCTGATAAAATTTGAAGAAAATTACAAGTTCAGAGACTACGAGAGTCCAAATAAGGGAAAGGGCATGGGGGCCTTTATAAGGGACCTCAAGGACACCTTTAATACTGTGGACTATGTGTACGTGTGGCATGCTCTGTGTGGGTACTGGGGCGGGATTCGACCTGGTTGTCCGGGTTTGCCCGAGGCAGAGGTGATTAAACCCAAGTTGACACCGGGATTAGAGACGACCATGGAAGATTTGGCCGTCGATAAGATTGTCAACAACGGCGTTGGATTGGTCCCACCCGAAATTGCCGATCGTATGTATGAAGGTCTACACGCCCATCTCGAATCCGTCGGAATTGACGGAGTCAAAGTGGACGTCATTCACGTAAGTTCTACACTATTAATTTTCACAAGCTTCTTTATCATAATTTTCTCCATTTTTCTAATCATTTGTGTGTTTATATATACATAGCTAATGGAAATGTTGTGCGAGGACTATGGTGGCAGAGTCGACCTGGCCAAGGCTTACTACAAAGCCTTGTCATCTTCGGTTAGGAACCACTTCAAAGGCAATGGTGTGATTGCTAGCATGGAACATTGCAACGACTTTATGTTCCTTGGAACTGATGCCATATCTCTTGGCCGTGTTGGTAAGTTTTTCAAATTTATTCACTATTGTTACTACTTAATGCTAAATATATATTAATTTAGACATGCTTAATGTAAATAAAATTAAGATTGAGAAAGAAAAGACGTAAAGAAATATATTTTATGAATAATTTGATTGATTTATAAAATACACACACTTGTAGAAAACTTGAATATGATTTATTGTTTAGGGTACGTGTACGTGGCGCATTATGCTACCTTTTGGATTGCCTAAATAGTATGCTAAATGGATTATTCACCCAACAATATTTCCTATTTTATTCTTATGATGTCTTAAAAAAAAAAATACGTGTAGACAAGTTCATCTATAGACTTGTAATGAAATAAATGTTGGTCTACAACTGTGTGCATAACCATATTAATGTCTTATCTTCTTGAGCTTTCTGAGTTAATTAGATTTTAGTTAGTTTTAAGCAAAAGTTCATTTTATATTGAACAAATAATTGTGTTTTGGTGAACATAGATTGATCAAAAGTTCGTCTGGAAATTATTTAATTTTCAAAATTAATTATACTTCTAGCTCATTTAGGAAACTCAATATTTAAAAATTGGACTTATCAAAAGTAGCACCCAAAAATTTAGCCCTTGTTTGAAGTTGATTTTGTTAGAACTGATTTTGTGAAAAATGATTATTTCAGAAAATGTACGGTTAAAGAGTTACAAAAAATTATGAAAATTTTATTAAAAGAGAATGTTGACAAAAATAAAAATAAAAATGGCGTTTCTTATTCTCAACAGGTGACGACTTTTGGTGCACTGATCCATCTGGAGATGCCAATGGCACATTCTGGCTTCAAGGGTGCCACATGGTTCACTGTGCCTACAACAGCTTGTGGATGGGCAATTTTATCCACCCTGATTGGGACATGTTCCAATCTACCCATCCCTGTGCCGAGTTTCACGCGGCCTCCCGTGCAATCTCCGGTGGACCCATATATGTAAGTGACTCAGTTGGTAAGCACAATTTTGAGTTGCTCAAGAGCCTGGTTCTGCCTAATGGCTCCCTCTTGCGCTGCGACTACTATGCCCTTCCAACTCGGGATTGTCTCTTTGAAGATCCCCTCCATGATGGGAAGACCATGCTCAAAATTTGGAACCTGAACAAGGTAAGATTTTTTCGAATAGGTTTATTCCTTGCAAATGTTGGGCGAAAGTCCTAAACCAGAGGGTTTTATTTCTTTCCTGTTTGAATCAGTACACTGGAGTTGTGGGTGCATTTAACTGTCAAGGAGGAGGATGGTGCAGGGAAACAAGGCGGAACCAGTGCGCCTCCCAGTATTCTCGCGTCGTCTCCTCCACTGCCAGCCCCAATGACATCGAGTGGAAACATGGCACAAACCCAATTCCAGTTGAGGGAGTTCAATTATTTTCAGCCTACCTGTTCAGCGAAAAGAGGCTGATACTAGCAAAATCATCAAGCGCCATAGAAATTTCACTCGAGCCCTTCAATTTCGAGCTCATAACAGTCTCTCCAGTAGCGGTTTTGGCTAACAAATCCATCCAATTTGCTCCTATTGGTCTAGTTAACATGCTCAATACTGGTGGAGCCATTCAGTCATTGGAGTTTGATGATGATGATGATAAAGTTCGAGTTGGTATCAAAGGGACGGGAGAAATGAGGGTTTATGCTTCAGAGAAGCCGGTAGCTTGCAGAATCAATGGGCAAGGTGTGGCTTTTGGATACGAAGAGTACATGGTTATCATTCAAGTACCATGGCCAAATTCTTCTGGGATTTCTGTTATTGACTACTTGTTTTGATTATTATGGGGTTTGCCTAAGATATCAGCGGCTTTATCCCCATGTTTAATTTGATGATTTCCATTCTCTCTTCGAAGCAAGAAATGTATTTCAAATTAAAAGTATTGAAATAAAAATAAGTATTCTTAACATTCTCCCACTTGTCTCTTAAGAAATAAAATCTCACATCAGTTAAATATCAAAATATAGACCAACTCATAAGAATTTAAGCTACTTCTCTTAATAAGATTAACCTCTTAAAATGGAAATCTAGACTTTAACAAGGTATTAGAGTCCATTAAACCCTAATGAGCAATTCAATTCAATTAGAATTCAAAAGACGAACACATGTGTTTCAAGATTGGACTGCTCAAACGAGTCACAATCTTGCGGTGAAATATTAATGAATGAAATCTCACATCGATTAAATACCAAAATATAGATCAACTAATAAGAATTTGAACTATTCCTCTTAATAAAGTTTACATTTTAAGATGAAACTCCAAATCTTGATATCTCATTCAAGCTCACACTTCAATCCTTGTATTATTTAATTACGTGTAAAGGTTTGAATTATTTGTTTTAACAAAGATGACATGATTCCAGGGGCGGAGCCAGGAAATTTGTTCAGTGTGGGCATAATTTAACACACGTCGAACATTGAATTTTGGTCATAAATTTAATGATGATAAAACTATAAAAATAATAATAAATAAATAAATAACAATGACATAGTTTATAATTAAACGTGTTCCTTGCAAATTTTCATATTTTGACAAGTGAAGTCCAAATCAACATATACCTAAAATCAAGCAAAATCATGGGATATTGCTTAAAAAAAAAAAAAAAAAGGTTTTGGGCCTAAAAATTCAGTGCGAGCAGCTGCACTCGTCCTCACATGGCTCCGCCCATGCATGATTCAAATATCAAAAAGTCAACAAATTAAAGGAACAGTTCAATTTGTCGAAATCTCAATGAGCAGTTGAACTTCGAGATTCATGTTCTTAAATGAACCGCCATCTAACATTAACGTTAATTTCTAAAACTACTCCTTACAAAATTCATCTTCTAAGATAGAATTTTAAGATTCGATATGCCAAAGAAACATACACATTCTTCTTCTTCTTCTTTTCAAGAGAAAAGGGGACAACAAAAGGTGGCACGTCTCTCTTTATTGTGTGAGGTACACACACCAAATGTCTTCATCCATTGATTCCATTGTGTGATGATAAAAAGAGTATAGCATGACAAAAAAGTATCAATTCGTTTTCATCCATATTCATCCCCATATATTTTACATTCTTTACGTAATCTTCAAGTCAATTCAAGCTGTGTAATAACTCTCCAGCCCCCTTTATTTTTTATTCTGCAAACCTTTATATACTTACAAGTACTACATGAGGATTTTAGGCGTATATAAGGTTCTTAATTTCTAATGACAGAGGAAAGTTTGCATTGTGAGCAATGGAATCTCGATAAATAATAATAGTAGTAGGCAAGTGTCTAGAATCAAGTGTTACACATTTTTGTGCTTGAGTTTTTATGGGTTCAAATATATAACTCATTGCATTGAGACGAAGTGCATAAAAAAATAGTTTAAAAATATATTATTGAACTCATAAGTCACAACCATAAAGTGGAATCTTCATTTTTTTAAATTTTCTTTTGATAAATAGAAAAAAAATTCCAAATAATTGTGTAATTCTTGTACTATAGTGCTTATTTTTGCTGACTAATGTCCTTTTTTTCCTCAATTTCTTGTGATATTCCACTTATGATAGTGAACCTCTCAATCGAAGGTGTATGAAATATGGATCCGGTTTCCGAATTGGGTCAAGTATGTGGGCCAATATATTGATAGGCCCAAGCAACTAATAAGGCATTAGCAATTTAACGCAAACTCCCATGCGGTACTGATTCTCTCCAGTTTTTACTCGACCACCAATTGTTCAATAAAAACGCGAGAAGTAACGAAAAGACTTGGACTCTTGCCTGTCTTCTACTGCTACTTCTTCTTCACGTCATTTTTTCTGGTAATTTCTCATAAATTAAGCAAAAATCCTCTTATCAGAACTATCCAAAACCAAGAATTTCAAGCCCCAATTTCAGTCTCCCCTCTGCAATTATAGTTTAGAGTGTGCTCAGATGAATAATAATACGACGTCGCAGTTTATGGACAAGCAGATCATGGATCTATCCAATCCTCAGACCAACAATAACAACAGTAACGAAGATTTCATCGATTTTATAAACCGCCCATCGGAGGATCATAATCGGAGAAAAGATGATATTGTTCCGAATTACGATTTCCAGTCGATACGACCCACCGGTGGATCAACATCGTCGCCACGGCCTTGGTCTTTGAATTTTGATTCCGGAAATGACGATGCGCCGATCAGGACATGGAATTCTTTGGATTCTAAAACTAACTCCTCTTCCGTCAGAGTATTGTCTCTAAATTCTCCCTTTCTTTATGTGTGTGTGTGTGTGTGTAGATACACGTGCATATGATAATTATTTATCTATACTCATGGGGTGGATTGCTTAGGGTTTGTTTTGTGGATGTAAAGACATTAAGTCATACTGTTTTGTTCTTATTAGGTATGTGATAACAGTGAACTAGTAGTTATTAGTAAAATGAATTGACCATTTACATTTCGTAGTTTCATGTAGAATTTTTGTTCCCTGTCACGATTGCCATTGGGTTTAGAATTGACTGAACTGGAAATAATATTTCTTGTTTTGAGTTTCTTGAGATTATATATGGACAAATAGTTGCTCAAGAATTTTTATTTATTTTTTTCACAGGATTATTCATATTTAATTAATGCATTTTGGGAGAGTTTCTTAAAAGGGAATCTTCTGTTACTAATGCTTATTAGATCCTTAGCTGCCATGATGTTTAGGGAATATAATACTTCGGTGTTCCATTGTATTCTATCTGCCCAGCATTTCATTTTATCTTATGTCTGATGGAGATTTAGTGAAGTGAATCTAGTCTTGTGATGGGATTGGGAAGTTAAATTGTCAATTGCTATCTGAGTTGTTTTATGTACTATATTTTGACGATGTTCTTATTGCCATTTTTCTGTTTGTTCAGAACTATAGTCCTCTTGGCCCCATTGAACCTGCCAAAGACATTATAGAGAAGGATCACAATGTCATCAATGCGTCCTTGGTTTCTGAGATTGATAGAGCAATGAAGAAGTATGCTGATAATTTGATGCATGCAATGGATGGTGTCAGTGCACGACTATCGCAGTTGGAGACAAGGACCTGCAACCTTGAAAACTCTGTGGATGATCTGAAGGTGTCTGTTGGAAATAATCATGGGAGCACGGATGGAAAATTAAGACAGCTGGAGAATATACTTGGAGAGGTACCTTCTAATCTTTTCTTGACCTGTTTATTTTAGATTGAAAAAGAGTTAGAAGATGAATGTTTTGTATCGTCACCTTAATCTGCAGTTTGCAATCTTTTCCCTGAAATGGCATTTCTATTGTTTTTACAATCTTATGACACGGTAACCATTTTAAGTTTCTTGAACTGAAACTTAGGAGGGTGTATTCAATTGAAACTTTTGAAGATTTTGATGGATTTTTTTTAAGTGATAACTTTTGTGAATTCCTAGATCTTTTATAGATTTGTATGGAATTAGTGGAAGTTTTTTGAGACTTCTATGTATTTTCATTTTAAAATTTTTATAGACTTTTGTGGAATTCGAAAGATTTTTAAAAACTTTCATTTCAAATAGAATTCACGTGGATCTGGTGTGAAATTTTTACATACGAGGTTTTAGTTCCCACAAGTCCCATTTTCCTCCCCCTTTTCATATAAAATTTTATACTTTAATAAAAAAATATATATTTTTCACACAAAAATGAATTAAAAAAGGGAAAAAAAGCTATAAGAATCCAATTTAATTTTTTCATAAAAAATAGAGATAAATAATAAGAGAGAGAAAAAAATATAAATGAAATATAATCAATAGAAAAAATAAATTTTAATCATACATGTCCATAGAAGGTTAAAGGAAAGAAAGAAATTTTTTTTTTTTTTTTTTACGAGAAGGCTAAAACAACTGATGTAATGGAAATAAATTCGATAAAGAAATAACGTAATTTTTTTCAAAATAATTATAAATCAACAAATTTGGACCTTGTTTGATCCCCATTTTATCCAAGATACATTTTTCTCTCTCTTATTTTCAACCACACATTCTTTAATAAAATAATATTACGCGTAAATTTAAAACTTTCATTATTTTTTAACATCACATTTTTCATCAGAATACTATTCCAAAATGCATTTTCATCAAAAAAAATAAAAAATGGAGCTTAAACAGGCTCTTTATAATGTTCCAAAACTAATTATTGATTTCCTCAAAAATCAACTCTCTCCAAGAAGGAAACAAAAAGGATAGCTAACATCGTTGAATTAATCTGAAGTACAAATTTAGATTAAATCAAGAACAAAAGAAGATTTGGCTAGATAAAATATGGACTTAATAAATAAAAAAGAAAAAAGAATTTAGCTAGGCAATGATATCTAACCAAAACAAGAAAATTTGACTGGACTGCTCGCCAAAGAACAGAAGCCTGCAAGGTTAACCCAAAATGAAATTAAATTGACTCTGATACCATGTTAAAATATTATAAGTTGTATATAATAACTTTGTGTTTCTATTACAAAGTAGAAGACCCTATTCTGTATAGGGCTATGAATAACTCTAGACAGAATGATTTAACTCTAAAAGGAAAGATTATGTGATAATAATGCAATCAACTATTAAAGAAAATAATCCCACACAATTGAAAAAATATCATGGAGATTATTCTTTACCATCTTTCCATATCTTCAACTCTCATGTTCCACCTCCCTTTTCTTGTTATGATTATACGTTTGTTACTAAATGCCCGAGGAAAAAAAAAAAGAACCTCTTTGATCGCATTTTACAGTCATGAATGTTCAATAAAGCGCAACAGAACATGTAATGCAAAACTCGTAGAGAATGTACTTGCAGTTGAATTCTTAATGATTTCTCATTTAAAACTACGTAAATATACAGAGGGACATATTTGAAAAGGCTTTGCTACTTGAATTGGCCCTTCCCCTAGTTTTATAATCCTCACTAGAACCATCTCTTTTAGGTAGGGTTTGGGGAATGCGACGACCGGTTTTAGTAGGTGTCAGAACAGTGTGAGCCCCCATTTTTTGATGTTATAATTTTTGGAATAGTGTTTATTTGGAAAATGTGTGGTTGAAAAAGAAAGAAAAATTTTTGGTTTATGTGTAATATTATTATATTGGAGAATTTGTGGTTAAAAAGAAGGGAGAAAAATGTATTATAAATTTAATAGGGCTCGAATGGGGGCTGAATAAGTTGAACTTGGTTTAGAAAAAACCTGTCTTACAGAATATGGTTCTTTCAGAGAAGAATACACTCTTGAAATCAGTCTGAAGTAAGAAAGTGTTTTATAAAAGTCAATTTCGAGGACTTCCTTAAATTTTTTGTTATTGTTTCGGTAACATAAAAAATATAAAATAATTTACGTGCATTTCAGGTGTTATTTTGAAACACTAAATATAGACCAACTTATTAGTCTGATCTTAATACCGTTGAGACCTGAACTGAAAGACAAATAAGGATAAGCCAAACTGACCCTAAGAATTATTAATTTTTTTTTACTAATTATACCTCTACTTATCAGGTCTTGCCCATAAGAAATTATTCAACATTTTCTGGAGAGAATAAAAATATTGTGCTATATCTAACTCGTTTTGTAACTTAAGAAATGAGTATGTGAGGTACTCTATCTTTGGTTGAATAGTGTGATTTTGACATTGAGGCGATGTAGGATTGACGGCATCAAGATCTCAGGGTTGATCCTATAGCCTTCCCTTGATGCTGTTAATACGATAATGCAGTGTGGGCATTGCTATTTATGCATTAAGAAATTATTCAACATTTTCTGGAGAGAATAAAAATATTGTGCTATATCTAACTCGTTTTGTAACTTAAGAAATGAGTATGTGAGGTACTCTATCTTTGGTTGAATAGTGTGATTTTGACATTGAGGCGATGTAGGATTGACGGCATCAAGATCTCAGGGTTGATCCTATAGCCTTCCCTTGATGCTGTTAATACGATAATGCAGTGTGGGCATTGCTATTTATGCATGAGACTGAATTGTGATTAAACTATCTAAGATTCAGTTCGGCATTTATTTCTATGAAGAGGTAAGAAATTTATTATAATTATGTGTGCACAAGGTTAAATTCTATGCTTATAACATGTCCAAGCTGTTATTTAAATCATTCCTTCTTCTGGTTAAAAAAAAATTGCCTGCAGGTGCAAAATTGTGTTCAGTTTATAAAGGAGAAACAAGAAATAGTTGAAGCTCAACTGCAGATTGCTAGGCTGCAAGTTTCCAAGGTTGAACAGCAAGTTGAAAACCCCAACACTGCACACACTGATTCTACCCAGCCAGGAGCATCTGCTCATCAGCATCAATCTCACCAGCAGCTTTCTGCAGTTCCTCTTACACAGCCACCTCCAACCTTATCTTTACCTAATGCTCCTCCTCCACTCCCGCCTCAGCAGAATCTACCACCTCATGTTCAGCTTCCGAACCAGTATTCTCAAAACCAAGTTCCTTCTGTCCCTCAGAGCGAGCCTTACTTCCCCCCACCTGGCCAAACTCCAGAAAATCCAAGCCAGCAGTACCAAACACCTCCAGTGCAGCCACAGCAGATCGCCCCTCCATCACCACCACTACAGCAACAATATCTGTCACCTCCTCAGCAACACTATTCTCAACAAGCCCCTCCTCCTCAACAACAGTACTCTCAACAATCTCCTCCTCAACCACACTCAACAATTCCCCCTGTCAATATCTCTCAACCTCAGATGCCATTGGGTCGTCATCCTGAAGAAACACCTTATATACAGCCACCTACTTACCTACCAACCATTCGCCCACCTGGGCCACCTCTCTCTCATCCCTCCAGTGGAGCTACTCCTTCACAACAGTTTTACGGACCTCCACCCAACATGTACGAGCCTCCATCCAGCAGACCAAATTCAGTATATTCTGGTTCTTATGATCTGTCATCCAGTCCGGTAGAACCGTATTATAGTGGCTCACCTTCACGTTATGGCAGTGGCTCCCCTGTGAAACCGCAGCATCATTCTTCTTCTATGTTAGGCCAGGGTGTTGCAAGTGGTTATCCACAACTGCCTACTGCTCAAATATTACCTCAGGCGCTGCCTACAGCCTCTGGAGTTGGTAGTGGGTCCAGTTCTACGGGTGGTGGAAACAGGGTTCCTGTTGACGACGTGGTTGACAAAGTGACAAGTATGGGATTTTCAAGAGAACAAGCAAGGGAAACTGTCCGAAAGTTGACAGAGCGTGGACAATCAGTCGACTTGAATATAGTGTTGGACAAGTTGATGAACGAGGGAGATGGCCAGGGTCCACGAGGTTGGTTTGGTCGGTAACAAGTTCCTTCTGCCACTATTAGTTTGTGAATGAGTTTGCTGGAAGGAGACAATTGCCCAATATTTGAGATTTTCTTGTAACTGTGTTTTCATTTTCCTATTTTTTTGTTGCTTGAATCCGTTTTTTATATCATTGTTTGTTCCTTCCGTTTTAAATCTTTACTATGCTTTAAGAGTATATATGCTTGATTGCCCTTTCCCTGTTGTCACACCATAATATGGTTAGACTTGTATGCCTGTAGAAGCTCTTCTATTAATTTCGTATTCTATATATCCAGCTGTAATGGTGTATTCCTGCATCGCCAGGATAGTGTTGTTTATAAACAAAATCCAGAGACGAAGATTATGATGCAAGTATACAAGTTTGCAAATGCGGATCGTTAGTTACATGCAATTGATACATGAGATTTATATTTGCGGTGGTTCATGGGTCGCACTACATGTGGGTTTGGGTGTAGTTCAGTTCAATTTCTATTTTGAAGAGAGTAGAACTAAACTGAACAATGGAGCTAGTTTCAAAAAGAATCGAATCGAATTGAATCGAGAATCAATGATTGTCTTACCATGGAACCATTGACTCCATTTGGAATGATTGTGGTTTGTTTAAATTGCAAAATCAAAATTTCGAATTTTTAGCTCTTGTTTGGTAGAGGTTGTGGCCAGATTTTAAAATGTTTTTTGCCCATTAGAAATTGTCGGTCGGATCCCAACGTGCCGTAATTTTTTGCTGCACAAGGTGCATTTTATCGAATTGTCATTACTTAAAGAGGAATGAATTTCATTCTGAAGGGGCAAATTGGTAGTTTCACTAAATTTAGTTAAGAATAATGGAATACAGGAGGGGTCGAAACACGTACAGCAGATGAGTCCCTCACGTGGGATCTACCTCATGAATTCACCCCACCCCCCCACGCCCAGTGTGTGTTCTGGAACAAAACCCCTCCTATACACACATCAAAACTCAAAATAATGGCTAGCTCATTGACATGCACATTGTACAATGGTAAGAATTTGTCTAAAAATTGGCTAAGAATATCCACCAAATAAACAATTCAAAATCAAAATTTTCAAATTATTAAGACAAACTTTTATTAATTGTACTTATATCGCAACAATAAGCTCCTGTTTGAGTCAAAGTCAAATAATCAATATTTATCACAACTTTCATAAATTTCACAACTTTTCGTCTACACATTTCAAAAATTTCTATCAAAATTTATAAAAAATATAATTTTAATTCTCACAAAATACCCTTCAACCCTCGATCATTGCAAACCAAAGCTGCATACCCGCACCAATAGGGGTGCCATGTGGCGTCCGTGGCATGGCCTTGGCCATATAGCGGTGGCCTTTTGATAAATCTATTAACCAGATTAACAAATGATTCTAGTTTCTAGAATTAAAAACCAGCCAGTTTTGGTTCTGTTTTGGTCGGTTTAGTTGGTTGTTCTTTGGTCCACTACTAGATTCAGGCGGTGTATTAGTCCACTGACTTCTAAGTACATTATTAGCTCGTAAGTCCATAAATGACTGTTACTTGAAACGACAACATACAAAGGGAGCTACTGAATTCACGTTATGGCCAGATTGCCCGACGGAACTAGTAAGTCTATAAAGGGATGAAAGTCCTGTCTAGCTGAAAGCTCCAGAGGTAAGAAAATCAGCCGACAGTGCCGCCGACAAGAATGGCAGCCAGCACCAGAACTGGGGTGAAAGTGATATAGTGGAGTTGCAATGGCGAGGCCAATTAGGATGCCAACTAGTGTAAGTCCGTCGAGGCCAATGGTTCAACCAATGGGTGGAGGTTTGTCGCAAAAATTCCTTGAGAAATCTTTGATTTCGGACTCAAAAAACAACCAAACGAACACCAATCAACCGACTCGACCCAACAACCCTTGCCCCTTGGTTGCCTCTGTTTTACCCCACAAATGAGACACTTGGTGGTGGTATTTGCAAGCTGCAAATGGAGGAAAGAGGAGAAGAAAACAATGGTTGAATCTCTCGCAAATTCACCCCAAATCTGGTTGCCACTCTCTTGCAACAATACACACCCAAACAAAGAATAAACACAAGACTGTGTATATAGACATTATGTTTAGTTTTGGACCAACCCTTACTCATAGTAGGCCAAAATAATGGGCTAACAATAACCAAATCCATACATTAACCAAGCTACCAACCCAACTCAAACTTAGGCCCTCCAAAGGTGGATTAATTGTTTCCGAGTCAAGCCGTCACTTTGGCGTTGATTAAAAATTCGACAACTATTTTAAATCATCTCTCGAATTTGTTAGGTATCAAAACCTAATAAATCTCCACTTTGATACCCAATTAATTTGCAAATAATCAAAACACAAAGTTAATACTTGCAAAATCAAAATAACCAATAAAATTGGAATCACAGACATTGCCTCGCGTTTCCAACCTGAATCACATATTATATCTACTCTATGTACTTACTAGGGCCAAGGTCAAGAACACCCAAATAGAAGCAAATATTTATAGTGAATAGTTAAGAGCAAATAATCATATAATGAAGATATTATATAGGACAATACACAGATCTTTTAAAAAAATCCACATTCACACAGAACCACAGATTAACGCTAAGTTAATCAACAACCAATCAACACATATGCAACAAATGTATAAATAATCCACGAAGAGATCTCACCACACTTATCATGTCTCATTCCGTGTTGCTCACATCTCGAGAACACATATATTCTCTTATTGTCCACCATGCTCACTAGACTGATCACTCAACCCATCTCTAACTGGTAAGTCACAATAAATTCTAAATCCTCGAGATAATCCTCTATTACTACATCACTTCTCCTGACCTATGTGGATAATGGGTCTTCACTTAACAGAAGTTATAGAAATGTATCTCTCACACGTCACCTGTACAGGGTCTTTTCACAGATAAATGATTCCAGCATTTAATCATATCTCCACTCGTGATCTAAATGTTACACTCTACATCTCGGTACAAACCACCAATGTATCCCTAGGCATCCACACTCCACCATACCAAAAGGCATACTCACTATTAGTGCATCACAAACCCACTATGGCAAATCAATACCTTTCGATGACGATACAGGTTAGGGCTCAATTTAAAAAATTGACCACTGCACCACAAGGTTACTTTATCACCAATGCTCAAAAAATCGACAAAGGAAATAATGAAGATGACATTCATAAAGTTGGTTACTTTACTACACTCACAAAGGAGGCTTATAAAGAGGAAGAAGATAACCCACTTATGGCTACGCCACATAATCTCACAAACTATACAGGCTTACAAAGATAAAGGAGAAAACAGCTGTCTCTTTCTTCTCACTACCACACACTCTCACATCACTCACAGAGCAGAACGAATATGCTACATATCTTAACCCATTATGCATGCAAACACATTACACAAAGTAATAAGATCACTCTAATTCATGCAATTACACACATCAAACATATTACAAGTGTAACATATCAACATCGCAATAAAATTAAGTGAACACACATACAGAAAGGATTCCACACAGATGCACATGCAGCAACTAAGTTTACTCTTAATAGACCTCACACAGGTAATCACTGAACCCAATGACAACATTCGCCTTACCTCTATCCTTATCTTTCCTTTTATTATCATTACTAGGACAATCTATTTCACCGTATCCAAAATTTACCACAGTTAAAATGCATCTGACTTTTTGCATTTGCTTTAGACTGACATATACCATCAATACCAAATAATGACTACAAGTAAAGAATAGACATAATTCACATAGAATAGTCAAAAAAAACTTTCCTAAGGTCTTAAGCAATTCTAATAGTGTAGAAAGAATGTGCAACAAATTCACAAAGAATTTAAGACAAATAATTAACAAGTAATTCCTAAGTCTAGCAAAAGGCAATGGTTATCCCTTTATGGTAACCCCGAACCTAATGTCAGCCCACACGATGATTTTTAACTCGAAAAATAAATTATTATCCCTACACAATAGTTTTAACTATAATAATAAAAGGCAAAGAACACGATACCGAATGGATCGAGTCTGAAGGCCCATAAATATCAAGAGGCGTGAATTCACTTGTTTAAGATTCAGCAACAACGACAACACAAAATGGCATCCGAATGTACAAGGGTAAAATCGTCCAACTTTTATCATATTGTTTAAAACTGAAATCCGACAACACTAAAGGGTTCGTCTCGTCTTTGGTAAAAGTCTGCCTATTGATGTCATCGCCAAAAAATTTCGGACGCGCCCACACATGCTTCACTGGCGCCGATGACTCCAGCCAAGTGCCACTCTCCTGACTACACTTCCACCTGCACAGTCCATCAGTGGTGTCCGTTTCTCCATCCGACCAATAGTTTGAACGAGAAACACCAAAATAGATCCGGCAGGTTGATTTCAAAATTCCCAAAATTCTATCAAGCTTGCTGCATATTTTCCACCCCATTTTCAATCGATTTTCAGCCAGTTTTTACACTCAAAAAGCATAGATTTTTCAACAAAACGAGCTCGGATACCATTTGTCTCGAAAATCCCTCGAGAAATCTTTGATTCCGAACTCAGAAAACAACCAAACGAACACCAATCAACCCTTAACACCTTGATTGCCTCAGTTTTACCCCACAAAGAAGACACTTGGTGGAGGTATTTGCAAGCTACAAATGGAAGAAAGAAAAGAAGAAAACAATGGCTGAATATCTCTCAAATTCACCCCAAAATTGGTTGCCTTCACACTCCTCTCTTGACTCTCGACTGCCTCTCTCTTGCAACAATACACACCCAAGCAGAGAAAAAACACACATCCATGCGTATATAGGCATCAGGTTTAGTTTTGGGCCAACATTTACTCATAATAGGCCAAGATAATGGGTTAACAATAAAGATCCATACAATAACCAAGTTACCAATCCAACTCAAACTTAGGCCCTCCAAAGGTGTATTAATTGTTTCCTAATCAAGCCGTCACTTTGGTGTTGATAAAAAATTCGACAACTGTTTTAAATCATCGCTCGAATTTATTGGGTATCAAAACCCAACAAGATTGATGGCTGCTAGCACTTGGCTTGTTGATTGATACTTTTGGGAGTCTTCAAGCCATCTTGGTAGTTGTATTGTGGTTGTGGTTGATGCTTCTTGTAGTTGTTGACGGTCACAATCAAGGTGGAGTGTGGTGGC